TTAAGCCTAAATTAATAGTATCCAATTTGCAAATGAATTCCAATTCAGCAGTTTCTCGCTGGAGTCTGGATTTGAAGTTTTTTTGTTTTAAGATAGCGACCTTCATGTCTGTGATTGCGTGACCAGAGAGATTGAAGTGTTCTCCGACTGGTTTATGAATGTTATAATTCTTGACATCTGATTTGTGTCCATTTATTCTTTTACGTAGAGACTGTCCAGTTTGACCAATGTACATGGCAGAGGGGCATTGCTGGCACATGATGGCATATATCACATTGGTGGATGTGCAGGTGAACGAGCCTCTGATAGTGTGGCTGATGTTATTAGGCCCTGTGATGGTGTCCCCTGAATAGATATGTGGGCACAATTGGCAACGTGCAACAAAGCCCGTTGCCAATTGTGCCCACATATCTATTCAGGGGACACCATCACAGGGCCTAATAACATCAGCCACACTATCAGAGGCTCGTTCACCTGCACATCCACCAATGTGATATATGCCATCATGTGCCAGCAATGCCCCTCTGCCATGTACATTGGTCAAACTGGACAGTCTCTACGTAAAAGAATAAATGGACACAAATCAGATGTCAAGAATTATAACATTCATAAACCAGTCGGAGAACACTTCAATCTCTCTGGTCACGCAATCACAGACATGAAGGTCGCTATCTTAAAACAAAAAAACTTCAAATCCAGACTCCAGCGAGAAACTGCTGAATTGGAATTCATTTGCAAATTGGATACTATTAATTTAGGCTTAAATAGAGACTGGGAGTGGCTAAGTCATTATGCAAGGTAGCCTGTTTCCTCTTGTTTTTTCCTACCCCCCCCCCAGATGTTCTGGTTTAACTTGGATTTAAACTTGGAGAGTGGTCAGTTTAGATGAGCTATTACCAGCAGGAGAGTGAGTTTGTGTGTGTATGGGGGTGGGGGGGGATGTGAGAAAACCTGGATCTATGCAGGAAATAGCCCGACTTGATTATGTAAAGTGTTGTCACTTTGGATGGGCTAGCACCAGCAGGAGAGTGAATTTGTGTGTGGGGGGGGTGGAGGGTGAGAAAACCTGGATTTGTGCTGGAAATGGCCCACCTGTTGATCACTTTAGATAAGCTATTACCAGCAGAACAGTGGGGTGGGAGGAGGTATTGTTTCATATTCTCTGTGTGTATATAAAGTCTGCTGCAGTTTCCACGGTAAACATCTGATGAAGTGAGCTGTAGCTCACGAAAGCTCATGCTCAAATAAATTGGTTAGTCTCTAAGGTGCCACAAGTACTCCTTTTCTTTTTGCGAATACAGACTAACACGGCTGTTCCTCTGAAATATATCAAAGGGGTACTGGAGATTATTTCACAGGATACCATCGAACCAAGTCACCTTTCTGAAAATTGTGAATCGACTATACTTACAACCACCACCTGTGGTTTCTGCAACAAATATATTAGTGATCGTTTTTCGGTTTGTATGGTGCGCTTCGAAACCAGTTCTGTCGTCAGTTTTGCTGTTTGTGCTGTATAGTCATTTAGGACCTGACCACAAAAGAGCTATTTACAGGAACAAAGCCACATACATGTGTAAACGCGTGCTGTTTTTCCGTTGTTGAAATAGCCTTGCAAACAGGGGAGCAGAACACACACTCGCACAAATCAGTATTGACTAAAAAGATGCACCATCTTTCATTAGCCAGTTTAAAAAAAGAAATCAGATTTATGGCGTCACTTTCTTCTTTGTTCAGAACAGTCTTGAAGGATTATTACTGTGTAAGTCAGATGTGATTATCCTCGTCATAAGATATTTGAAGAGGCTGCACCACCCTGTATGAAAATCGGGATAACGATTTAAATTTTCCAGTCTATTATCTAAGTTACCATTATGAGGATATTATATAAAATCTGCAGATATTGGCTAAGCATCTTTCCTCCCTCCTTAGAGGCAACATTTAGTTCATTAGAATCTCTCCAACCTGGTGCTTTCAACAAACTATAAATGTCATCACTATCAATCTCAACAACCTCTGTATGACAATTAACATTAACGCAGTGACCTTCTCCACCGGTAGATTTCATTAGTAAATTACAACTGAAAAAAAAATAGAGCAACATTGGTTAGCCAAATGATTACCTACATCATCATTCATGATTTTAGTCAATGCCATATGAAGTAAAGGAAAACCAAGTTATCTGGGGCACAGTACAAGAGATCATTAGGAGCAGCACTAGTGCCCCTTCCTGCTCCTCCAGTGAAGTAAGCTTTAATTTAAAGCAAGTGTTCTTTACAGAGATGACATGCACAAGTTTGCAGATTCTGGTTTTTGTTGCTCCTGCAAAAGTGTGATTGCACCTGTTGTTTAAGACACCTAATTTGTGCAAGTTTTTATTTGCAAATACAAATCAGGAAATTACAGGGCAAACCAAGCCCTGCCATGGCACAATTGCAGTTCCTGCATTGGAGACTTATAGAGAATGTTTCCTTCAGTAGCCCCTGGAAGGCATAAACTACTGCAAAAGGGAGCAGTGAGGAAGCAGGACTGAGTTGTCCATTTCCCTCTCTCCACCATCATGTGGAGTTGGCTGGACACAGGGGCTCATGCTGTACCTTGTAAGGACTGGTGTAGTATGTGCACTCCCTCTGTGAGGCTCAGGAGCTTGAGGAATTATGCCTCCTTGGGAGTATTGCAGTTCCACAGTAATTTTCAGGGCTGTGACTGAAAACAAGAACTGAGCCCTGAGTGTACAGTTATCTGTATGCAGAAATCTGGGTTCACCAGGTCCCAATCAGGCTCCAAATCTCAAACTTTGACCTTCACCATTACCGGTTTAACACTAGTTCCCATCTTAGCCCCTTAAGACAATCAATCAGACAGTGATTTGTGCTGAAGGCTAGAGAATCTGACAGTGATTCTAGTGTTCGGAGAGTTACAGGAAGGCAAGAGGATGAGCACAGTGGCACTTGCTGAAATACTGAGTGTGTTGGCATGCTGGCATCAGTATCCTTGTTCTTTCCCTCTGTGTGCAACAAATGTGGAAAACCCTCCAACCATCTGCCAGCTCCTGCCTATCTGACAGATATCAGGCAACATCAAACACCTGTATGCCAAATCTGCACAGTTTGTATGAATGTCACTGCTGATTTGTCTCAAGAAAACACTGCATGCCAAGTGCTTTCCTTGCCCATTTCAAAGAGAACAGAATGTAGTTAGGAAGCTTCCTTTTTCTTCATGCTGCACGCAACTCCCTACTCTTCCCCATTTGGAGAAGGAAGGAGGGTTGATGTGGGTTCTCATGCTGTGGCAGTGTGTGATGAATACTAATGCATCAAGACTTAATCCAACTATAGGAAAACATTTGGCCAAACGTAGTTACTGCTGAAAATACTTTAAACCCCCTTGCAGACATCAGGTTGGTTGGTTTAATTCATAAACATGGATATTTGGAATCAGATATTTTGCACGAACTCACTAAAGTCTACTTGCTATACTATCCTAGTGAAAGGAAGAGAGATACATCCTCTAATCAACTTATTTCCTTTGTTTTAACTATGGCAAGTGACATCTAGAAATCTGCAGATGAAATGTGATCTAAACCTTGAGAAGAAAGCAGTATGGAAGGAAGGATCTTACAGTGGGATGCCTAACCCACTCCATTGTTGGGCAAGAAGCCTGATTTCCCTTGGCAGGTGACAAATACACAACATAGTCAGAACACCAAGAACAGGTTCATCTTTCACCAGGAAAGTTAAAATGATAGCAGAACTGGTCTTCTCCACCCCTTTCTTCAAAATTCCTCCATGCAAATATGAAGGAACAAAACAAGATATCCTGCAACATTCAGCGAGCAATAAATGCTGCAGCAGGTAAAGAGAAGAGTTATTCAGCCTCCTTGAATGGAGGACAAAAACATACCTGTCCCACACTTTCTAACACTTACCATTCATGCTATTGATTTGTTGGAACTTTTTATTAAGGCAAAGTTACAACAAAACATTATAACATACTTCATCGTACACTGTTTATTCAGGATCAGGTTAATAGTCAAAGAACCTGGCTAAAGATTCTGACTTGTTGGCTGGGTAGTTGGTGAGAAAGCTTTTCAATTACATGGACAGTCCATATTTTCTGATAGCACAATTCCATACGAGGAAAGGTCAGATTTTTCCAATAATGTGCAATATAAAGTCTAGCTGCTAACTATAAACAAATAAATTAGTTGTATGTTCATTCAGATCTGTGCACATCAGGAAGTTTTACGATGGAGTCCCCATGAATTTAAGGTCTGATTTCATTCTGTAAGTCAAAAGCCCTTGTTGATAAATTCAGCTGTGCATAAAATTTCAGGCAGAGCAAAACTAGCCATATGGGTATCAGTGGGTGAATACTTGCACTGTTTTGAAGAAAAAATGAGTCTGGGGAGGAAATTGAAACAAAACAAAACAAAGACATTTTGAAAGAATCACAGAATTATATATTGCAAAAATATTTCTGAAGTTTGTACAAAGCTTTCTGTTTTGTGGCTGACTGCAAAAGTTACCTAAGAGGAAAAGTACGTATTTACTATGCGCTTAAGAGAAGGAAATATTGATAAAGGGCTTGTGTTAGGGTCAATGTGACCATCAGAGAACTAGTCTGAAAGATTATCATTGGCTTGTCGTCTTCTTATCTTCTTGGGTTTCCCACTTCTGTAGTGAGTGGGAATGCATTGTAGATGTCTAAACAGCTGCCTATGCCTTTTAAAAGCATGCCACCTGAACAGAAGAATGAATGAAAGAAAACAAACATACCACAATCCATATCCTGAATTCAAAGAGCGCTCCATACAATACAGCTACATCAAAAGAGGGGTGGGAGTACTGGCTGTTATTGGGTCAGTAACTCATTGGTGCATAGAAATAAGAATAGAGCTAGATACTGCTTGCACTGTAATGCAGCCTTCTTCAGCTTCCAATCACAAAACATTTAAACCAAAACCCCGGTGCTGTTTATAAAGCATAATATACCCCTACCTGCACATTTTGTTCTTGTTGTGAGTGGAGGCCCAGGTGGCCCTGTGCCCCCTTCACCAGGGCGGGTGAGGAGCACTCTGATCTCATACTCCACATCGGGGTCCAGGTGCCACAGTTTGTAATTTGGGGAGTCTACGATGTGTGTTTCTGCCCAGTTCCCAGTGGTTGTCCGGTACTCCACCTCCTTCAGTATTATAGGCCCATCTCCAATGATAGAATTGGCGTTGGGTTTGATCCACAGATAGGTGGCGCCGACAGCCAGCAGTTCAGGGGGCGCAATGGGCGTCGGAGGTTCTGCAAGCAACAAAAAGTTAGAAGATGCTTGTGAAATGTGTTAATAGTGCTTAACTTGATTGGTAACAACAGCATGTTCAGCAGAAAGGCTGGTCCAAACTCTGCTCTGTTACACAGGTGCACTTCTCCTGGATATGTACCGGACAGTACCTTACATGAGACTGAATTCCATGGAATTGAGGATAATTTGGCTTAATATATTTATTTCTAACTGGGTGCTATAACAGACTCCAGGAGGTAGAAAGTCTGATTCTTTATGGAAAATGAGGAGCCACATAATATGAAAGAAAAATAAGTTTTATCTATTTAGAAATACCGTCACGAAATAAGCTCCTGACCTTAGCCCATCCCACGTACTCATCACAAAATAGATAACTTTATCCTCACCCATCTCCTGAGTAATTTACCATAAAGTGATTATTAAAATAAAATACAGTAACTTGAAAAGGTGAACGTTGTTCCCACAGTTACTTCCTACTCTAAGAGGAGGAAATGCAGTGTAGCAAAGGGCACTGTATAGCTGTGAGCAAAGACCATGTTTTTATCGGTGACCACTATATTTAGGGAATTCAAAATGCCATTTTAATAAAAGGCTGTAGTTTTAAAATAGGATACATTTTTAGACCAAATTAGTTGACAGTGTCTCTAAAAATACAATTGAAAATGTATTTAAATGCCTGAAGGGTCTTTGCTTGTTTAATAGTAACACAAACAGAATGCTGATGAAGTTCAATGTAACTACATTACAGCTATGGTGGGGCTAAAAGAGAAACTAAGACAGTGAATTAACAGACTCCATGGTGTTCAAGAGCAAAATATGTTTAACTTCATGAGTGATGGCACTACAGCCAAGTCTGCGTGAGACTTGAAGACTGCCTCGAAGAAGTCTGAGAAGCATTATCAGGAGGCAGGAACCAGACGGGTGCAGATACCTCTGTGATAAAAAGGAGAGCAAGTCAGCAAGACGGCTCTCCAGCACCCTCTGATGAAATCCTCAAAAAGTCTACAGGGGCCTGGCATCCTGCCTCATTTTTTGGTACTATCCCTGTACACATAACACTGGCATATTGGAAGCCACATGAATACCATATGCCTTGTAGTTTTGAAAACCTGAACTGAAATGTGCAAGATTCTGAGCGATTTCTTTAATCACATCTGGTCTGTTTTCCACCCCTCTAATTTGGTTTGCCCTCAGCCCAGAGGACACAGAAATTCTCTTTGCTTGTGAAACGAAGGAGACAGACACAGCAGACACCCTTTTTCTTAAGGAAAGAAGTCCTACAGAAGTTAATGACACAGAGCCTTTTAAGTTTTAGAAATAGATTTCTGCAAGAGTTACTCTAAAAACCCTTTTGAATTGAATAGAATGATAAGCTTTCCTCCTGTGATTAGTTAAAGGAATGAATGCCTTGGCTGCAAACCACAGAGGAGCTCAAGAGATATGCATTTATATGTGCAGAACATTCCTGAAAGTGTGGAAATGCCCCACTGAACCTTAGGAAGCGCCTTAGTCCCCCATTCCATAACTTACACGGTTCATTGTAGGGGCATGGAGGTTACCCAAAGTCACAGGAGATCCCGCAGTTCGCCACTTGCAAATTTTGATGGAGAAAAAAACCCAACTCCATTGACAAGCCTTCCTAGCCAAGGAGGTTTTACTCTGAGCTTAAATTCTGTAGAGCATCAGGGCCTTAGATTAAAAGCCCTCTAGCAAGACACCAGGGCCTGGATGCACAAGAGGAGTTAGGTGCTTACGTCTCTGTTTTAGGCACCTAAGGGTATGTCTACATCATGAAGGAGGAAGGGCCCAGATTCTGGGCTCCAGCCCGAGCCCAAACATCAACACTGTAATTTTCTACAGCCCCGCAAGCCTGAAGGAGCTGACACAGGCCAGCCATGGGTGTTTTACTGCAGTGTAGACATACCCTAAATCCCAGTTTGGGGACCACTGTACTGCACAAAACTCCTGGTGAATTCTGCTGGCACCTAGACTCACTCAACGCCTAGCTTTTCAGGGTATAAGTTCCCTCGGCGCCTATGTTTCTGCCTCTGGACATGCATGCTGCTGCCTCCCTCTAGGCACCCAGACACTTATCTCCCACTTAAGCCACAAAGTGATTCACAAACCAGTAGAAGACAGGCATTTGACCACCTAAGTCATGTGCAGGGCCCAATCCTGTAGGTGCCCTCTGGGCACGGCTACCGGGTAGGGCCCTTCAGGTGAGTTCACACAAAACAGCTGAGGGAAGGGAGAAGGAGGACATCCCTCGAAACGTTTAGCACATATGGGCACCCTGACCACTGGGCTGAAAGTTATGAGGGAGGTCCCTCTCCTTCCTCCTGGCTTCTTGTTAAAATGGTGTAGATCAGTGGTTTTCAACCTTTTTTCATTTGGGGACCACTAAAAATTTCAAATGAAGGGGCAGACCCTTTGAAAATCTTAGACATAGTCTGTGGACCCCCCAGGTGTCCGTGGACCACAGATAGAAAACAACTGTTCTATGGTAACAACAACCTTTCACAGACCCCTTAGACGTAGTCTGTGGTCCCAGATTGAAAACCACTGGTGTAGGCACCTGACAGCAGGAGAACAGTCACAGCTGAGAATCGCTAACAGCATTGCAGAGATAGGCTTAGCATTCTCCCTTCTGGTCAGCAGCTCCCGTTAGCTAACCTAGGCAGGCTCCCTGCCTAGCGTGTGTTAGGATATAGATATTCAGGCCTGTCTGTAAAGGCCTATACTCTAATTTAGGTGTATTCTTATCATTTAGCTAATTATAGAGGTATAAAAGAAAGAATCAAAATCACTGTCTGCCGGTGTAAGGGCCTTCTCTTACTGTGACAGTCTGAGGCCCTGTTCTAAGGCTAAAGCCTTTGGCTAAGCAGCAGAGGCAGCCATAAGCTGGGAAGCGAATGGTCACATCTTCACATTCCAAACTAGACACATTGAAATAAGGTGCTATTGGGCTGTTAGGAATACAATCCTGTTCTGATAATGCCTAACGCCTCCAGAGAAAGGGAAGTGCCTAGAAGATGTAAAAGGAAACTTAGTTTGATAGCATCCTGTCTGACAAGAACTCACTTATCAATAGCTGGGATGTGAAATCCTCATTTTTTTGTTGTTCTATCACTGTAGTCCCCATTTCCCTATTGTTTGTCTGTATAATCTCTGTCTGGTTCTGTGATTGTTTCTGTCTGCTATATAATTAATTTTGCTGGGTGTAAACTAATTAAGGTGGTGGGATATAATTGGTTACATAATCATGTTACAATATGTTAGGATTGGTTAGTTACATTTCAGTAAAATGATTGGTTAAGGTATAGCTAAGCAGAACTCAAGTTTTACTATGTAGTCTGCAGTCAATCAGGAAGTGAGGGGGGGAATGGGAACAGGGAATAGGGGTGGGGAATTGGAATCATGTTTTGCTAAGAAGGAGAATGGGAACAGGGACACAGGTAAGTCTCTGTGGTGTCAGAGCTCGGAAGGGGGACACTAAAGAAGGAAACTGGAATCATGGTTGCTGGAAGTTCACCCCAATAAACATTGAATTGTTTGCACCTTTGGACTTCGGGTATTGTTGCTTTCTGTTCATGCGAGAAGGACCAGGGAAGTAAGCGGGTGAAGGAATAAGCCCCCTAGAAGCATACTGGCTTTTGTGATTTGCAGACTAAGGCACCTGTCTCTCCCCATTCATTGTAGAGGAACCTAGGCACCTAACTTTGGCTTTGTGAAGCACAGTGATTTTCTAGGTATTTAACTCCTTTTGTGCATCCAGGCCCTTGTCTGTAAAGCAAATAGAACTAGCATGGTGATACATAAATAAGTAATAAAGAGCTGAACAAATAATCTAATGAATAAGTAATTCAGTAAATTCCAGCCCTATTTGTAGTTTATTAGTGTAAGATAATTTTCTCTGATTAATCTATTATTCAAAGTTACTCAAAATTTATGGTGAATGTTATTTACTCGGTGGCTTTCTATTCAAAATCTGAGCTGAGTTGCTTCATTGGGATCAACCACAGAAATTATGCTATTTGTTCCCTGGAAGAATGAGCAACTCTTATCATCACAAATATAATTGGAGTAATAGATATCTCCCATAAGCAAACAAAACAGTGCGAGAAATACAGTTTGTTTAAAATTCAAACAAATGTTTGCAAACTTAGTTTTTGCCCCTTTCTCCAAACTCCAGGCAGAAACTTTTTAGTGTCAAAAAGCTAGTGGTTTACATTAGGGATGTCCCCAACAAATCTATTTTCAAAAAATTCAAGCATGGGTAACTAGAACTTCATTAAAAATATGAGCATTACAAACTGCTTAAAATTGATTTTTCCCCTCTGCACATAATTAAAAGAAGATCTTACAGATTTATTTTTTCATGCCAAAAAAAAAAAAAAAGAAAGAAAGAAAAAAGAAAGAAGACGGCATCTTACAAGTTAAGTTACATCCCAAGTTAGGAGACAAATGAAATATTAAGTCCCAAACTCCTGGATATCACATAATATAATAACAACATTATGTAAATTACTTTGGTATTTGGTTGAGGATTAGAAAAAAGATTTACTGGTCGAACAGTTAAATTAGTAGAGCTCCATCTTTTCTACACATTCAAAGCAAGTTTAGATACTCTAAGGATTAGCAAACCAGTTCAAAATAAGAAATCCACAGCGCTCTCTTCCATTGCTTTTCACCTCAACCCTGGCTCAACACAAACCTTTCTGAAGGGCTGTCCAATGTTTTCTTGTTTCTGTGTATTTCTGCCCTTTCAGGTTCTGACTAGGAGCAAAAGTGCCGAAACATCACATGATGAAAACTGTCTAAGACTGTCAAACCCAATTCTAAAGATTCAAGGAACTTGAATGAACATTAGTTGAACTAATTATTTTGGCCTCAATCCTGCACCACTGAAGGCAACATGAGTTTTTCCATCAACTTAAATAGGACTAGGAACAAGACCTTAACCCCATTCTGGCCCCTAAATATTGAAAATATTTCACCT